ACTCAGAACACGCTCACACTCAGGCGAGAGCCACACTCACACTCAGGCGAGAGCCGTGCTCACACTCAGGTGAGAGTCATACACCCTCTCAAATGAGAGCTGTGCACCTGTTCAGTTGGTTTATTGCGTAAAGACTAGGTGTGCCCAGGTCTCCTCTGCATACACAATCTCATGCACCCACTCTGAGCTAGTGAGGGCCCCCCAGGGTCAAGGAATTTCACATCTGAGCCCAGTGACCCTGCTGTCTGGCTTGCCCTCCCAGTCCCGCGCCATTGAGGCTAAACCTACGGAAAAGCGAAGCCCCAGCCCAGACATCCTTTGGAAAGGACCAGGCTCGTGGGGACACCATACCCCAAGAGTCATTTGTTGTTCACGTCCCAGGTGAGAAGCCCTATGAATGCCCCACGTGCCATGCCCGGTTCACTCAGAGTGGGACCATGAAGATCCACGTGGCACAGAAGCATGGAGAGAATGTGCCCAAACACGTGTGTCCCCACTGTGCTACCGTCATCGCAAGGAAGAGCGACCTGCGTGAGTGCCTGGTTTCACGGTATCCCCTTGGCCACAGTACAGACCTGCCCTTTGGACTCCCAAAGTCTGCTGAGCCTGCCCAACTCTGGAAGGTCTCGCAAGCTTGGGAAACTTTTCTAGAAATGTTTTTACAGAGGTCCTGTCCCGCCCTCTGGTGGCCGATCTGAGTAAGTGCGGTTCAGAAGCTGCCAGCCCAGTCTGCATACCTGTCTGATCCAATCCATGGGTATTGTTTTTAATCTCGTGTTGGATTTGCTCTTACAGATAAAGACACTGAGACTGAAAGACACAGATGATTTTTCTGCCAGGGACAGCAGCCCCGATAACAAAGCTTAGCCCTGTCCATGTTCCCTCCTCAGCCGGCCGTTTGCACACTTGGCCGGGAGCTTGGGGTGTTGAGGGGAAACTGAGACAGGGTTCTCCCTAAGGAACTTGCTTCTCCTGTGGTGAGTCTTGTGACACAGGACACCCTAGGACAGGTGAAGCTTGCAGGGGCGACTCTGTATATGCGTTTGGGAGCCTGCAGTGCACCCAGCCCTGCAGAGAGAGGCAGACAGCCTTTGGCATAGGAGCGGTGCCTGTGGAGGGCAGGGAGTGTAGAGGGCAGAGTTTATTTACGGCAAGGAGCTATCAAGGACAGGGTGCTGGCGAAGGAGCCCCTAGATCTCCATGGCCTTCCTACTCGTCCTCTTGTTTTTCCTCCTCTCTGTCCCAAGAGTATGATGTCACAAGAGACAGTAAAAGTATCAGCATAAAAGTCCTCCCAGTTGCCTCGGAAAACCCCAGAGATTTTGGAAATATCCCTGCATGGGTAAAGGCATTTAACCAATCTTAACTTTTACCTTTCGTCTGGAATATTCTGTCAATGCCTCTGGGTTCCTGCAGTATCACCAAGCACCTCCCAGTGGGACCTGTTAGGACAAAAGGACCAGTAGTCAGTTGTCAAGTAGAGCCTGTTTGTCGCATGCTAGAGGGGACTGATCTGCAGCCCCTGCAGGGGTGCTGTAGCAGTGTGGTGTAGAGACATTTCAGTTGTATAGTAAATAAAGCTTGCCTGAGATCAGAGAGTAAAACAGTCCCACTGGCCGGTCTTACAGACCAGGCAGTGGTGACCAGTAGCCCCACTAGTTACCATAGAAACCAGGAGGTGCAGGCCTTTAATCCTAGTAGTGCACACCTTTAATCCAAGTCCTAGAGAGGATTATACAATGGGAGGAGACAGCTCTCAAACACAGCCTCGTTCTGAGACTCCTGGAGGGCAGGATCGCCATTTCAGACTGAGGTCGAGGCTGACCAGTGGGGCTGTTTTACTCTCCCGATCCCCAGGCAAGCTTTATTTACTAAAATACAATAGAAATACCACGACAGTATGACTCTTCATCTCCCTGTAAGAAGGGGGTGGTCTGTCCGTCTGAGTTGGGGGGAGTGCGGGATGCTCCTCCATCATATTGACATCTTGTTCAGCCTCTCACAGTGCCACATGACTAACAGACATGACGCTTAGCTGAGGGAGGCGTGCCCTAGACAGTGCCCAGTATGCACCTCTCTCAGGTTGTAGGGACAAAGGGGCCTGGACTCCCAGCAGGACAACAGTCATGCTTTTGTTACAGAAAACCCTTTAGCCTGGCTCTGAAGCCCCTGCATTGTGCTAGGGTTCTCAACGTTCACGGCCAGCCTATAGCCACGCTCTCCCGGTTGAACAGGTCTTAGACTGAGGTCTCTGGTTAGTTCCTTCATGACAGTGGTACTTAGGCAGGGTGTTTGTGTCCTGGGGACACGCCCCTGGATGTGGAGGTGGCCATCTGTCATCTCCGAGAGAGGCAAGCTAATGTGGGGGAGGGGGAAAATGCAGAAGACAATCTGTTGTGCCCAGAACTGCCCACCCTACCCAGGGAGTCCCTAGGCATTCACAGGGCCACGGGGCAGCAGTGTCTCCTGTGTCTCCAACAGGGGTCCATCTGCGCAACCTGCACAGCCACACCCCCGTGGAGATCAAGTGCCGATACTGTCCTGCTGGCTTCCATGAGCGCTATGCCCTCATCCAGCACCAGAGGACCCATAAGAACGAGAAGAGGTTCAAATGCAAGCAGTGTGATTACGCATGCAAGCAGGTACGGCGTGAATGGTTGCGGAGACTGGGAAGCGGTCATTCTTAAGAAAGAGGCTCAGGGCTGGAGAGGTGGCTCAGCTTTTAGGAGCAGTTGTCGCTCCTGCAGAGGGTCTGAGTTTGATTCCCAGAACCCACATGGTCATTTACAACCATCCATTATGCAAGGTAACTCCAGTTCTAGGGGATCTGACACCCTTCTGACTTCTCTGGGTACCAGGTATACACATTGGTACATGTACATACAAGCAATAAAAACACTCCTATATATCAAAATAAAGCAATAAATAAACATAAACTTTAAAAAGAAAGAAGGAAGCCAGAGACTGGAGAGCGGGCTCAGCAGTTAAGAGCGATTGCTTATCAATCATGAGGTCAAGAGTTCAAATCCCAGGACCTGTGTTGGATGGCAGGCAGCTACCACCTGCAGGGGATCCAATGCATCTCCAGAGCTCTGCACACTTACACACATACAGGCACAGTGTGGTGGTGCACACATCAGTCCCAGCACAGAGTCAGGTGAATCTCTGAGTCTGCAGTCAGTTGTGAACTGAACCCAGTTAGTAAGAGGGTACCAGATTCCCTAGAACTGGAGTTACAGATAGCTGTGAGCTGCCGTGTGGGTGCTGAGAACTGAGCCCGGGTCCTCTGGAAGAACAGCCAGTGCTCTTAGCTGCTGAGCCATCTCTCCAGCCCCATCATCTTTTTGAGTTTTTTATGTGTATGCATATTTTGTGTGCACCTGGTGTGTAGTGCCTATGAAGGTCAGGAGAGGCCATTAGATTCCCTGGAACTGGAGTCAGAGGCAGGGGCGAGCTGCCACACAGGTGCTGGGAATTGAACCCAGGTCTCTTAGAATAGCCAGTGCTTTTAACAACTGAGCCATCTCTCCAGTTCATACCATTATTTTCTGATGTACCGGCTTTCTTTTTACTTTTCTAAACGTATGTCAGTGCCTCACTTTCTATTTTTCATCATGAATACGGCTGTGTCTCATCCACAAGAAGCACTTTGGCGTGTGCGATGATCCGAGTGTGCCTTGGAGCCGACTGTTTCACTAGTGGATGCCGGAGGCAGGAGTTCACGCTCACTGTCTCTCAGGCTGCAGTCTAGATTGGGGCTGGAGGGACTGCTCAGTAGCTGAGAGTTCTCGCTGCTCTTATAGAGGACCAGAATTGCTTCCCAACCCCTGCATAAACTCTAGCCCCAGGGGAGCTGACACCCTCTAGTCTCCCATAGCCCCACCCAGGTATACATGCACACACATACAAATTCATCATCATCTTCTACAAAGATGATGCCGTAGAGAATTTCTGCTTGTTTTGCTTTTGTTTTGGGGGCAGGTCTCTTGTAACCCAGGCTGGCCTATACTCCGCATGTAGCCAAGGATAACCCTGATGCCCTAGCATGCAGCAGGCCCAGGCTCTGATGAGGGCCACACCGCTCTTGGGGAAGGAAAGCACAGAAATATATGGACAGTTCTGGGGAACCCTTCCACCCCGGGTCAGCCGTGTTCTTGCTTTCCCCCCAGGAGCGCTGCTTGATGGCACACATGCGCACACACACGGGAGAGAAGCCATTCGCCTGCCTCGACTGCAACAAGCACTTCCGGCAGAAGCAGCTGCTCATGGTGCACCTGAGGAAGTACCATGACCCGAGTTTCGTCCCCAGTGTGCACCTTTGCCTCAAGTGCGGGAAACACTTTTCCCGCCGGGTAAGCACCCCCCTGTCTCACGGTTACTGGCACAACAATGACCTCCACCTCTGGGGAAGGTTCCCACTAGCTTTGGGGTTCAGGAAAGTCAAACATTTTATAAACACATGCTGTCCCTCAACAGGCAGAAGGGAAGCCCAGACACACAGACTTTTGGGGATGGAACCCAGGCCAGGTGTGTGCCAGGCAAGCACACCACTGGGCCTCCTATTTTTTATTTTTGTTTGTTTGTGTTTGTTTTTGAGACCAGCTCTAGATAAACTGTTCATTCTGGCCTTGAACTTCTGCTGAGGGTTCAGTCTGAGTAGGTGGATCAGTCTAGACCACCAGGCCAGACCCATAGTCTGTTAGTCTTGTTCTTTAGTGGGTATAAAATTGCCCCATGCCGGGCAGTGATGGCACACACCTTTAGTCCCAGCACTCAGGAGGCAGAGGCAGGTAGATCTCTGTGAGTTCGAGGCCAGCCTGGTTTACAGGGTGAGTTTCAGGACAGGCTCCAAAGCTACAGTGAGAAACCCTGTCTCGAAAAACCGAGAGAGAGAGAGAGAGAGAGAGAGAGAGAGAGAGAGAGAGAGAGAGAGAGA